AATCTGAGTCAAATTTCAGCCACCCCCTCGTAAAATACAAAGGAATTCTGCCAAATTTCCTTCCATGTTCTTCATTTGATGGCAAAGTAACAGAGGTACCATAATTCACTTGATATCATTCTTTTCCTGCTAATGTTTTATTCAGACTGAGCTTCATTAATAAAGATGAAACTTCGGACTCATGATTGCTCCATGTTTACAAAACATCCAGGCTCCTTTACATCTTGGTTAAGCATGAACAATCACTGAACACACAATTTCCTAAAAAAATCCCACATACCAAAATTGCATATTTTGAATTTTTAAAATTCACTAAACAGAATTTCACAGAGTGAACCCTAAAGTCTGTTTGCCAGGAAAGCACAAGCCAAAAATGGAAGTTGGGACCCTCCAGGAAAAAAACAAAGCTGGACCCCAACACACACATCCTTCCCACTGAACAAGCAAATAAATAACACATTCATACAGAGTAATTTGCTCTAAAAATGCAGGTGCTTGAGTAGTTACCCACAAGTTTTAGCATAAATTTTGGTTGCTCAAACAGTACTAGAGTCACAGTAAGTTTCCTTCTTCTTTTTTTTTTTTTTTTTTTTTTCCTGTGTGGAACTGGGCAGCAATTTCTTACTGGACACCAGAGAACAAAAACTAGCCCAGAACCCGATGATTTTGACACAAGTCCAAACATGTTTCTCTGCAGAGAAAACATACAAAGATAAGGCTGTTTTAAAAAAAAAATTAATTAAAAAAAAAAAAAAACCATAGAGGTGTATATAGCAGTATCACTTTTTAATGCCAGGTATTGGACCAGGGCATGGGACAGACTGCACTGCATTTTTAAAGCAGTATGACTATCGACATATTTGAGAAACATTTTAACACTGTATATTACAACAAACTATTTAGTTCACTTCTATACAAGTCAGCAAAAAAGCTAGGTGATCCAACATGATATGGCAGCTGCCAAATTTAAAATGATAGTCACAGTCTAAAGCCAGAACAAAAACATCTCCAGAACTCCTATTTATAAGAAGGAATGAACGTACACACCGCGCGCACACGCAGAGAAAAATCTTGAGGTTTTACTTATTGCTCTTACACAAGGCTGTGAGCAGGCAAATGTCTGGATCAGAAATTAGGTCAAACATGCATTTCAGCAGGCACAAGAAGTACGGAAATTCATATTAACGAAACAATGTACTGTGTTACGTAATACAGGATGGTATTCTGCTAATATAATACTTACGTCATTAATACCGGATAAACTCCAGGTCTGCCTGTTGCATAATGTGTTATGCAGTGTGGTATTTTAACCTAATTTCTGATTTCTCTTTCATACTGCACCCTCCGTGCAGGGACAAAGAGGGGCGGTTTTCAAGACAGCCGTTCTCTGTGACGCCAGAGAAACCTCGGCCTCAGGAGCTTCAGTCGGGCAGGTACGGCCAGAGGGAGGTCAACATTATTGGCCCTGCATCTCCAGGACCTGCTCTTTGACTGCCTCGCGGTCTTGCGCAGCCATTGGCAACTCTGATAAACAAATGCAGAAGTTGGTACAGAACACATCAGCGCTCTGTTCTCGGAGCACCTTCCGGCTAGGCTATACGCTCCAGGTACACTCGGCAATTGCTACAGGGGATAAGGCAGTAGAGGGTCGAGTGCTGTATCTGGTCACTTCCTCAAGAGTCTTATAAAGGCAAGATTCTTTTTTTTTTTGTGAACTGGCTTTCCTTTACACAATAAGCAGCGTAGCGTGGATAGCAGTAGAAATATGGCTACCTACGGGCAACAAGAGACTTGGACGTTCACAAGACACATTTTTGGAATACCTGCTGTTCCCTACTGCAACCAAATTAAACATGCTGCGGAGAGGTGTCCATGTAATTACAATACTTTCAACTCAGGTTTCAAGGCATCCTGCACATGGGCCTTGCATGAAAAAGGCATTGAATGTGTTATCTGAGGATTTTTTTTTTTAATTTTTTTTTTTTGCTGTGCTATGCATACATATGATAGTAGATAAAAATCAGCACAATGGTTCCTCTCCATACACGACCCAACACACACCATAACAATTAAGCACCTTAAATGCTATTCTTCAGTTAACAGGAATCAAGGAAGAAGATGGTGGTTTGGGAACAGGGAGGGGAAGAAATCCAGCATGAAGTTAGAGGTATGTTCCCAACAGAAGTCCTAGTGGAGAATGTTTATTCTGAACAAGCAACTGGATTTTGTGACATAACCAGCAAACCACCGATGTCTACAGGCCCAACTTGGGCACTGCATAGTCAAAATTATGTTCACTGGTGTTGTAACATGGCATTGAGCAATCTCCAATTAACTATTAGAAAGAGCAGTAGGTAGACGACAAGAGGTCACGCTTCAGGGAGGTTATGCTTTGTACTTCCCAAAAGAACCAGTGCAAATCAATAGCTTTTTCTGTCTTATTAAAGATCTGTCGCGTGCCCCTTCATCCGAACCCTAAACCTCACACAAATTTCAGCTTTCAGACTCGACAAATACCCAAATTCACACCAAGCTCTATTTTACTTACAAGCAGTACTACTAACACTAGTGGGACTGCTTAGAGCAAGGCACTACTGCAGTGAAGGTTGAAGAATTTGGCTCTTTCCAAGAAGTGAACTAAGAATATGACCGGGATTTCATGACACTCACAGGTGGAAGGAGACACTTCTTGTGGGTTTCTTTTCAAATCTGTCCGTACAAACACCAATGTTTATAAGACTGAAATGGGGGAAAAGGCTCCGTTATGCTCACCCAGACATTTTGACACCAGGATAGCCACAGTGGTTTGGGAGGGGTAGCCCACCCAGTAGAGGGTTAGGTTGGCCTGGGTCCTCCTCCCAGCTATGTCACTGCCTCTCACTAGATGACTGCACTTAAGGGTCCCTCGTCTCAGTTGGGATGGTGAGGCTTCCTTAGAGCAACTTCTGTGTTACACCATCCATGGGTGCACAGTTGTGTCTCCTAGGAAAGAGTGGGACCAAATAGGTCTAAATTCTTTTAAAAACAATTAAGAAAACCCAACCTCTAGAAAAAGAACAACAATTTTCTATCATGTCCTTGCAGGAAGGAGTCCTAGGACTTCTCGTGACCCACTTCTTCACTAATGGCTATGAAGGCCAGGTCATCAGGAAGCCCTGCTGCCAGATCAGATGTAAAACAGCGCGTCCAGCATTTACTGTCCAAAGCCATCTTTTGCTTGAAGCCAGTTAGGCAGAAGTGTTTTGGCTGCATTTTTAGGTATTCCTCCCAGCCCACCCAGCTTCCCTGCTCAGAAGCTCCTTCAGATAAAAGATGCTGGAAGTGCCACTTCCCCGCAGCTGAAAAAAATGGGGAGAAACAGAGAGGCAAAGAACACACACCACAGAACAAAATGATTGCTTGTAAAACACTTCCTTTTAAAAACTACTGTACAACTTCCTAACTTGGTTTAAGTACTGTGCAGTTTAAAACATATAAAATGCCTTACCAGCTAAATGATTTCTCGGTTTTACAAGTCTGTTTCCCTCCCCCCATTAAAAAATAATGCATGTGTGGACTGCTATTGAACACCTTGTACAGAGTCGCACGCCAATTCTCCTTTAATTCTACATGGAGCAGTTTTGATTTTAATCTAATGTGTTTAGAGAAGAGCTCATACCATATACTTTACAGTATAACCAGCTACATAGATGTCTTTAATCTCATAACACGATAAAAAAAATCACTGTAAGTTGCAGTCCCTTTGATAAATGATTATGGTGACACATGCAGTCCTCCTCAGTGCCGCTGCCGCCAGACAGGGGACGTGATTTTCTCTGCACGCTGCTGAGAGGCCTGACGTCGCCACACCGGGGGCCGTGGCCGGGCTGGTGCACCGCTGCCCCGGCGCACAGCATTCTGCAGTCATTGGGCAAAGCTGCGGTGAATTGTCTCCCTCCATCCCACCACCACCACCGACCCAACCCAACCCCCGGGGGAGCGCGCCCCTCTCCCCGCCTCAACCACAGGAGATCACCGTGAAGCGCTTGGAAATGCACGACATGTTGTGGAGGACGATGCCCAGGAGAAAGACCAGGACGCAGGCCACCAGGATCACAGTGCAAACCCCCGACCAGGTGGAGCTTTTCACAACGCCTCTCCGGTCTGGCTCCTCCACTCCCCCCTCGGCGGGGAGGCCACCCTGCAGCGGCTGCTGCTCTGCCGGGATGGTCACCACCGCCAGGGACTTCTGCTGGCTGCCAGGCAAGAGACGGCAGCCGATGTCTCCCGGCAGTAGCGCCCTCTCCTTGGAGAGGGGCAAGGGCAGCATGTAGCACCCATTGCTGGGGAGTTTGATGAAGACCGGGGTGTGCTCTGAGGTGTGGGGGATCGCAATGACGGCAATCACCTCGGGGTCATCGGGCAGCTGCGACACAGAGTACCCCGGCGGCAGCTTGGTGATCCCGCGGCACCAGGGGCACCGCAGGTCCTTCTGGCTGGTCCTCATCTGCTGCAGGCACACCGAGCAGCAAGTGTGCTTGCAGTCCAGGAGTTTGGGCCGCCGGCGGGGGCTGTAGTAGTTGAAGCAAATGTGGCACTCCAGCAGAGAGTCCTGGGACAGGGTCTCCATGGCGGCTGGCGCAGGGAGGCACAGTGACCCTCACAAGGAGCCTCACCCCGGCACCCCACAGCTGAGGGGCAGCACCCGCCTTCCCGCCGCTTCTCCTCAGGGCAGGGCCTGCCTTCCCACCGCTTCTCCTCAGGGCAGGACCAGTCTTCCCAACGCTTCTCCTCAGGGCAGGGCCGGGCGGCAGCAGGGGAGCATGCAGGAAAACCTCCGGCCTGAACCTTTCAGTACCTGAGACAAACAGAAAATGTGAAGGAACAGGTTACTTACAGGAACCAGTGGGAACAAAAGAGCCCAGCTAAGGGAGCATGAAAATGAGCAGTGACCTTGTAATCTGGTGGGAGAAACAAATTTGCCACCCTGAACAAGAAAGCATCCTCCCCACTGGCTTCACCAAACCACCCAGGGGCAAACCTTCAGGTCAGCCATCACTAGGTGGCTTTTTTTTTTTTTTAAACCCTACCAACCCACCAGTTTACCACTCTCACTTATATTTATACCCGTAACAGGGGAGGGTGTAGTTCACTAAGCAGTTCCTTCAGCATCTACCTCCTGTCATATTCTCAGGACTTTTCAGCCCTTCCTGCACCTTAACAATTGTTCTAATTTAATCCTTTAAACCCCTGAGGATTTTTAGCTATTTGGCTCAACTGCTAATTCTGTGTGAAGGGCGGGGGAAAGAAAAAATATGTTTAAACGGCTGCATTTCCACAGGGTCCTGAACTTATGCCTGTGCATGAATGAGCAACCAAGTAACTAGACTGAAACACCCACATTTGTGCACAACAAAAAGGAATGGCATGGTTTTCAGTCCAATTAACTGTTTTCCTGGTGACACGAGCAGCTTGTTGAACATGGCCCTCTGAAACATACACCTTCCCACTCATGAGAACTTCACCCGAGACAAAAGGCTTTGCCTAGACCCAGGACCTTCGAACAAAACAGAGAACAATCTGTTAATGCACTGAATTACAGGCAAATTGTTACTAACCTTCTTCTAAACTATTCACTATAAAGGGATTTTTCTGCATTTCCCCACTTCTTTCTTATAGCTATGCAAAAAAAAAAAAGCAGCTGTGTTGTTTACTTCCACAGTGAGTTGTTTAGCTTGCTTTGATTTTGGTCACTCCAACGCATAATAAATATGGAGGGGTGACATTTTTACAGCTCTTTGCATTGCCTTCCTTGCTGTATTTAAGAAGAAGTTTGAATTTGCATCCAGAGAATACAACAAAGGAAGCTCAAAATATTTGCATGGTGACCTTTGATATTCTTTTATTGCAATATTATCCCCGAAAGACAACTAACACCAGAGGTCCACAGCTGTCAGGAGGACTTTTTCCTTTCCAGACAATTATTTCTTGCTCTTCCCTCCCAATCATAGCAACAAGGTTGCAACATGCTAATCGATGGGTGATGTCAGTAAACCAGAAATAACATTGTTCCAGAAGAGAAGGCAGGCATGGATGTGGGGTTTGCAATGCTGGACAGACCTCTGGACCACACTGTCCCATATCCTGCTCCTGGCAGTTACCGGTATTTGAATAGGGGAAACAAAATACACGTCATCTCTTCAGATGCTAATGACTGAGATATCACTGACATTGGCAGAACTGGCCTTGCTGCTGATTTTGTAACAGCAGAAGATTTTGGCTCACAAGGCACTTCAACAAACACACAGTGACAATCCTGACTGAGCAGGGAGCAGGGGCAGTTATGAAGGCAGGAGCCTGTGAAACATGGGCAACAGCTGCAGGGGGAAACGGCACGTGCCAGCCACCCCAACAGCACTTTTGGGATGCTTTGCCCGAACGTGGCATAGAGGCCACTGCTGGGAGAGACCCCTGCCAGCGTGAAGCCAGCACGGGTCTGTGTGGTGCCTGCTGTACCATCATTACACATGACATTAACAAATATTCAATGTGCAGAGGGAGCCTGACACTGCCACACAGGGGGCTTTGCATTCACCACCCACATGCAGGCCACGCTGACAGAAAGTGGAAGAAATCGAGCAGAGGTTTTATTTTCTTTATCCTCTCCTTCCCATTACCATCTCCACATCCCTACAGTACAGGCAGGCACAAAGGAAGACCGTCAGAAATGGTCATTAAGAGACTGGCATGCAGCTGAGAGAGAAAAATGGGGCAATTCCCAGCTGAAAAACATTAAGAGACAAAGGCCACATTAGAAATTAGTTATAGGAACTCAGGAAGGGATCACTGAAGCCACCAGATCCAGTTTTCAGCAACAAGCAACACAGCAGTTCTATATTTTGCACGGAAATATCCATACAAAATCTTCACAGTTACACACTGTCCATGCCAAACGAGCTCAGACACCACAAGACGCAACTCTGATCTGGTGTATCTGCAAATCTATCAAAAAAAACCCCAAAAAACAACCCAGGTATAACAATACTACAGTATTATTACAAGAAAAGGCCCCAATGCCTGGAAATTCAGAAGGTAAGGCTTATGTTTAAAAACAGAGTGGAAGTACTCCTGCAGATGTAAATCCGTATCTCTGCATAGAAACTCTGCCCTCCACATTTTGGATGTCAACGAACTGACTGGTGAAGTTCTCTGACCTCATTTAGCTGTCACCCACAAACATCTTTCTCCACTTACAGTGCTAAAGGTAAACCAGTTTCTATTGATGTGAATGTGATTGGGATCAGGATAATTTTTCTGACCTCATATCCTTGTCCTGGAGCCATATACTCATGAGCTATCAAGCCCCTCATCTCTGTCCCAGTGACATCCTTACAGTGTAAGATCAGTGCTAGGAGAGAATGAGACGAGGTATTCAGAACTGAAGAATAAAACAAAAGTCACCTCCAGACAAACATCATGCTAAGGAAAAAGAAGAAAATTCATTCCAACAAGAAGATCTCAGCTGGTCTGAACGCTAAGTAATGCTGTGAAGCATTTCTCCACGAGGTTAAAGTTTTAAATCATTAGTGCAATCTAAAGGAAGAAAAAGGAAAAGAGTGGAGCCAAATCAAAAGGTTAAGATAGGGCTTGCCACCTACATAACATACATTGTTCAGGTATGTGTGGATATATTTGCAGAAGCTGTAAATACAGTGACATCCCTATTCTGACCTGGTGCTGAATCAACAGTCACTTCCAACTGTGTGTCTTGAAGTTACTTTTTTCCTTTTCCTTTTTTTCCCCCCCCGAAAGAACAACTATAAATATTACTTCAAGTAACAAGGTTGCATTGTGCATATACCTATACTGAATTATGACATTTCTTACTTTCCCAAAATGTTTCAAATAATGATCGGAGGTGTATTTTGACAGATCAGTGGCAACATCCCGTAAGCAGAGAGCTTAGTATGATTCCTTCAGAATATGTCTAAAGACAAGTTAAAGAGTAGCCACACCTCTAACCCCTTGGCCTTTGCTGACACTGCCTTGTTCAAAGGTTGGTTAACTAGCTCCACGGCTGCAACGCAACTTTATTCCCAACCATAATGAAAGCCTCACAACCCTCCTGCACTCTGCCACAGCTCCGTTTGGGGATAAAAGAAAGTCAAGCTATCGCCCACAGTCAGAATCAAACTGCATAATATCTATTTGATTCATTTCACAGTACATAGCTAGGAAGGAAAAAGCCACGGGAGCTCCCTCAGTACTCTTCTACCACTTCACTTTAAAAACGATGCCAAGATTTAATACTGCAGCAGACCTCCTCTTGGACAGGGGTCTGAACTCTCTAGTTTGTGTTCAGCTTACCCCCATATGAGTTGGAGGTACTGAACTATCACAGGTGAACACCTCGCTCAAAGCTTACACAGACTGAACTCTTCTCAGTGCTTTGAGCACGAAGACTGAAAAGCAGACAGGCTGCACGTGAGGGCACGGCTGACATCAGCATCAGCCAAAAGCATTGTTCTGTCATTATTTGCTCTCGTCACCCAGTGACGCCCAAGGCGGGCAAGGAGACTGTTGACAGGAAAACACAGGGGAAAAAAGTCAGAAGAGACTGTCAGGGATATCTGTATGTTTCTGCAAGAGGGACAGCGTATATGTATACATGGATGTGGGCATGCATGTGGAAGGGAGGGCTGGGGACTATAACACTGAAACCATACACACAGAGACAACTGCAACTGCCAGTAGTGACTCTGCCTGGCACAAACCTGACAGCAACCAGGAGCTCTTCAGGGCTGAGTTCTAACTAGCAACACAAATGAAAACTAACTGGGTATGAAAAACCACAAGCTCCAAAACTCAAGTGTCAGAAAGGTGCAGCAGGAGAAAAGGAAACGAGAAGAGACAGGCCTTGCAAAGAAGCATCAGGAGACCTCTCTGCCTCCCCTGCACCCTATTCCCCTTGCTGTGGGTCTGCCCAACATCCACAGGGCTGCTGCTGGTCAGCGAGATGAGAGATATGCAAGCGGTTACAGAGACCCAGGGAGGAACCTGCAAGACTGATGACCCCTGCGGCAGAAGATCAAGGTACAGCCGGGTGGCTGAGAGCATGGCACAAAGGTCCTCCTTGCAGATTTGGGCTGCCCTCTGCATAAGTCAAGACGTTTCAAGATTTGAGAAACAATTGCATGACTCAAGAGCAATAAAGGTCTGGAGAATAAAACAAGTATTTCAGCTGTTTGTCAGTCACACTATCTATTCTGCTGGTACCTTGTTGGAGGCCACAGCACAGCCCCAAGCTCTCTTTTTTTGGGTGAGCGGGAAGCCAGGAATGCTAAGGCATCAGCTTCCTACTCCCCAAGAAAGAGAAGGGGCATTTGTTGCTCTCTTGCAATCCGTAGCTTGCCAGCACAAAGCAGGGAGGTGCTGCAGGAGGTGAACAGATGAAGGGTGCTGCAGCTAGTACAGCACAGCTACAAACAGCAAAAGGAAGAAGAAAGCACAGGTTTGCTGCAGAGAAAGTTCTGCACAAACCCTAACTATAAAGTGGTCCCTAACTGGACAGGTCAGGAGAGACAGCTGTTTTTGGAACCCAGTGCAAAGACATCCATGACAGGAGCGCAAGTCAGAGAACGGA